GCCCACGCCACGCCCTCTGCTTCATGCGCATGCGCGCCTTGGCGCTGGGCTGCCCGGCCCCACCCCACCCGCGGCCCCAGCCAACCTTGGTGGCCCCTGGGTGTCCCCCGGAGCCACCAGCGCCACCTGCACGCAGGGGCAGTTCTGTCTCCTGCTTTCGGGCCTCCTGCCTGCTTTTCTCGCCTGTCCCGGTGGCTCCAGCCCCTGCGCAGATGTCCACAGGAGGGAACGGCCGGTCTTGCCCTGCTGGGGCCGGGGCGCCCCCGCCCCGCCTGCCTCCGGAGAGTCTCCATCGTGCCCCAGGTGTCCTTCAGCATCGATGGCCGAGCTGGAGACCCCTCCTTAGCCTGTGAAGCTGGGCAGCAGGCGGCTGGCCCTGCGCCCCAGTGCGGCCGAGTGGGCGCGCCACTAGGTCCTGTTTGCTGCGGACACGGTCTCTGTCCGGCCTGGTGTTGGGACGGCACTGGCTGCCTAGGAGGGGCCAGTTGAGGGGGCTGGCCATGCAATGTCCCAAAGCGGCGGTGCGGGGAGGGCTTCTGGGCAGGTGTAAATGGAGGGAGGGCTCCCGGGAGGTGGTTGGGTCAGAGTAGGGGACCCCAGGAAAAGGACATCCAAAAGAGACGGTCACTCCAGAAGCAAACTGGACGGCAGGGACACGTGGGGAGGGGACAGTACGAAGCTAAAGAGGCAAGCGGCCTGGGATGGGGGCCTCTCGGCCCCTTCCTAGAGCCCCCGGGAGGGGTGGGGTGTGCAGGCTGCCCCTGGGGAAGCCGCAGACTGCAGGGTGGAGCTGGGCTCCCTCTGTACCCTGCTGGGGTCATTTTGGGAGGGACGCCTCTGCCGGCTGAGCCTGAAATTGGCCTCAGGCGCCGAAGCCGCCCCGTGGGCAGGCTCTCTGGGGTCCTTGGCAGCTCCAGCCACGCGGACCCTGGGGTGGGGGCTGCGTGGCCCTTTGTCAGGTACGTGGAGCTGGCAAGAGCAGACGGACACAGAGGACAGTGAGTCCTGCTGGTCTGGGGGGGCAGTGCCTTCTGGCTCAAGGGCCCCCACTCCCCAGGCCTACACCTCCACCCCCGGCACTGCCTCTGCTGGGCAATGAGGGCTGGGGAGGCCACAGCAAGGAGCACCGGAGGCCCAGCTCGCCCACCCACTCAGCAGCTTGGGGCTCAGTGGGCGGGGCGTTGGGCGGGGCTCAGTGGGCGGGGCCTTGTGGGCAGGCCGCAGCCAGCGCCCGCCCGCCCAGCCAGAGCCGGGTCCTGAGCTGCGCAGCCCTCTCCTGCGCCCAGGCCTGACAGATGCGGCTCTGGGTCGGAGAGCGGCTGAGCGCTGCCGCTGCAGGTGGGGCAGGGGAGCAAGGGGACAGGAGGACTGGCGGATGCCCACGAGGGGGCGAGGTCCCGAGGCCCCCCACCCCGAGCCTCAGGCCGGATGGAGCAGGGTCACAGGGACCGGCAGGGTCAGCGAGGCTTTGGCCTCCCTCTGGTGAGAGACTGTCCAGCTCTTCACACCCTGCCGCTGGCCTCCAGGCGGGCGCCTGCAGCCTGCCCTCCGCCCTACCGGACGCCTGGGCCCAGGGGCACACCGGCAGCATAGGTACTCGCACCTGGCCGGAGGGCGGGACAAAAAGGGGAGGGGCTCCTGAGGCCGGTCTCCCTGGCTGGGCACTGAGGCCTGTAAAAGCCACCCAGGGCCCCAGACCCCTCACCCGCTGCCCGGAGCCCCAGGAGCCTGCCGGCCTGTGGCTGCACCGCAGGTGCCCAGCAGCAGCCAGCCGGGGAGCTGCTGGCACCTCACAGGCGCTCCCAGGCCGCGGGGCCTCCGACCGCCCACCCTGCAGACCGCGACAGAGCAGGGGCCAGCCCAGCC